ATAAAGTCCGATACCACAAAATATACTACGTTAGAAGACAAGCACCATACCTTAAAGTCAAATAAGAACACCATACCTGAAAAAGGTCTGCCAGGAAAAACTGATCAGACCATCAAATACAAAAGCAGAGGAAAAATGCAATCTTGATTATAAATAAGAGGAGAAATGAAAAACGGTTTAATGGGTTTTCCTTGCAAATGCTGATTTGAGAAAAGGCAGATAGAGATGATGAATTGGATCGGTCAGAGCAATAATAAATAAATGGTCAGGGGTTTGGTTGGTGGAACAATGCGTTTGTTACACCAAATTAAAAGCACGCAGAAAGAGGGTAAAAAAAGGGAATCAAAACAGACGACGAAGAAAACGTCTGCAGAGGGAGGAGAGTGAGGCCCACATGAATTACACACTCCCAGAATAGAGAGAAAAGAGAAAGAGGGAAGAGAGAGAAAGAAGAGAGAGGGAGGAGAAAAAATGGCAGATTTCTGGAAACACGCTCCTCTGTTCAAATATTGAATAATAAATGCTCTCATCACTCGTTCAAGTCCATGATTCTCTCGCCATCCAACTTTTCATTTTTTTCATCAGTCAACGTTCTTTTTCTTGTTTTCTCCTCCACCTAAAATTTCATTTAAAGTTTTGGGTAAGACTACAATACCGTTACAGAACCATTCTGTTGGGATTTGTAACCGTTAGATATGATCTAACGGTTACAAATCCCAACAGAATGGTTCCGTAATGGGATTGTAGCATTTTCCTAATGTTTTATTTGACAGGGGTAAATTCGACTTTGACAGCCTTGAGTGTATATGAGAGCATCTCCAATGCTATGAGTTTGAAAGACCATTATTTTTAACACATGTCAATTAGTGATTGTAATGTTAATCCACATTGAAATAATGTTAAAAGACTAGAAATTTGAATAAAATTAATATCCCCAATGCATCAATTTGATAAGAAGTTATTTGTATAGATGGACCAATTAAATAATTTATTGATACAAGAAAAATAAAAAAAATAAAAAAATATAAAATAAATTGATGAGTCATCATGTTTAACATGGTGTTAGATATTAGAAAATATGTTCAACATTGTCAACATTAAGGCCCCGTTTGTTTTTCAGCGTTTTCTTCTTAAAACAGCTTTTCCACAGTTTTAGCTTTTTGACTTTTCAGATCTGCTAAAATAAATCGTTTGGCAAACAGCTTTTAAACACAGCTTTTTTGTTCCATCCGCTAAACTAAGAAACGCTGCAATTCGTAGCGTTTGAGTTTAGCTGATTAAAATCAAAATACAAAAAAGTCTCAATTGCCCACAGCCCACTCTCGTTCTCTGCCCCTTCCATTTTGCTTTCCCGTTTCCAAAACAAATTCTCTCCCCCAAAAAAATCATCTTCTCTGCCGGAGTTGCACCCTTCCGGTTGCTCTTCACCATTAGGACCACCGCCTCCGCCACCACATCCGACTCTTCCGCCGGCGCATCCCACTCTCTTGTCGAGAACGAACGCCCTTCACACAGAGGTACTCTCTCTCTTTCTCTCTTTCCCTCTCTCACACTCTCTCTCTGTACATCATCAATTTGAAAAGGATTCAAGGTGCAAACATAAACATAGGCTGATAATTGGGATTGGAGTGTAATCAAAATAACTGATAGTTCTAAATCTTAATTTTAGGGTTCATATTGACAATAAAGAAGCCGACTGTTATTGATTTGGAAACAAGAACTCGATGTTTCATTTTTCCCTCTTTTCTCGGGCAATTCATTCTACATTATGATGTTGGAATAGAAAATCTAGGGGACTAAGGAAAATATTTCTATTAGCTTGCCTAGAATTTGGATTATACAGTTGCAAATATCACTTTTGCAGTCAGATTTTTCATACTTTCTTTTACTTTTTTTTTTNTTTTTTTACACGTTTAGTCCCCATGCTGCAATGAAGAGAATAAAATATATATGTAAGAAGATAACTAATTGTTATACATTTTTTGCAACTTCAATATTGTTGTATGGTGGATAATTTGATTAACTATTGTTATTTCTGTCTTGGTGGTTATGTAAGCAACCATGATGTTCGATTTTGTTTATATGATGTTAATATATTGTTTTCCCTTGTGACTTATTAGTTTTCAACTTGATTAAACTTAAGAGCTTAATTGTGTGTTTGGAGTTGTTAACATACAGTAGCTTATTGAAAATAGTGAAAATTTTCCATTGGTTATACATGTCATTGTTGTGGATTTGCTTGATGCTTTTGGATACTCTGCCTATGAAATGCTAATAACATGGTGTTTTCCCTCTTCTGCAACTTTTTATCTAATATATGCTTTTGGATACTCCTTTTTTCTTTTCAATTCTTTTTCATTTTAGTAAATTGTTTTAAGATATCCTGCAAGTGACTTTTTTTCTTTTTTTTTTTCTTTTTCTTCTTTAAGACTTTTTTTCCCCTAGTTTTATTTTCGAATTTTATTTGGTGTTTAGATGAAAACCCCAAATGAAAAGAGCCTTAAAGGAAGTGAAGGAGGTGAAAAAGATAACAAAGGTGGTAGAGTTAATTGGTCCAAAAAATTAATAGACCTCCTTTGTGATCTTTGTATCGAATATGCGGAAAAGAATAGGGGAAAAAGTGGAGCTGTCATAGGTCAAAGATTAGCTTGGAAAAAGGTGGAATCCGAGTTTAACAAAAGAACTAGTTTGTCATGGGATAAAAATAAATTAAAAAACAAAGTGGATTGGATAAGAACCAGGTGGAGTTTGTGGAAACAGCTAGAGACTGGATTAGGCTGGGATCATATAAAAGGAACATTGATGCTACTAATGAATGGTGGGCTTTGAAAATTAAGGTTGGTTTATTTTTAAGTTTTTTTTTTTTATTTACTTCTCATCTTATAAAAAGTGTAAATCTTAGNTCATCTTATGAAAAGTGTAAATCTTAGTTATATATTTTCACGTGTTACGTTTATAGGAAAACTCTAAGTATGAAGTGTTTCGAGAAGAAGGGGTCGAGACAGAACTTGAGTGTAAAATGGATCAGATTTTTGCTATTTCTGCCCAAGGAAAGCTCAAATATACTCCAGTATCAACTCGACAACAAACACATGTGATGCAAGAAGTCGAAGATGTGTATGTTCCTTCTCCATTGCATGAGAGCGGCACTGATAATTATGGTGGTGACAACTATTGTGCGGTGGATAAATCATGGGATGAGGTATGGAGAGAGATTAGCCCGTCTCGTACATCTACCCCTATCCCGTCTCCTGGTGACATACAAGTTGAAGCGAATGATGGGAGAAAGGGTAAGAGGTCTTTAGCTGGGGACTTCTCACAGAGTAGTAAGGCTGCAAAGACCAACTCAGGTAAGAGAGCAGGGGCTCAAGCAATTCAAGAAATGCTTGGAGGACTGATGCAAACAATTTCAGAAAGAAATCATTCAACAAAGAAAATTACCAATTCAATGAAGAATATGATGAGTTTGAACATGGATACAGTGAAGTCAATGAAGGAAAAGTCTAACTATGACCTTGGGGATGCTATGGCGAAACTATGTACTCTTTCAGATTTGACGGCCACTTCGCCAGAATTTTTCTTTGCTTGCACGATGTTCGAAGATCCCCAAAAAAGAATTATTTTCTTTGGATTGCCTGATGATAACAGTAGGGTTGAATAC